TTTTTTTTTTTTAAATCATAATTTTTGTAAATATTCTGTCGCAAAAAAAATTCAACTTAAAATAAACTATCTCCTTCTTTTCTCGCTTAATGGTAGAGAGTGACACAAGAAATCCAATTTAGCTTTCAACAGTTATATCATTAAAAGTAGACCGCATTTTGTAAATATGAATCTTCTATTGTAGCTTCTAATCTTAACTGTGCTTACTGTTGCTGATGCTCACGATATTACTAAATGATATAAAAAATTTAAAAGAAGTATATCAAAAAAAAAAAAAAGATTACAATTTTAAATATTTCCAGAAAAATAAAAAAGCAAGAAAGAAAGAGTAATAAGGAATAAGAAGGAATACTTGCTAATAAGACAACTGAAAAAAATGGTTCTTTTTTTGTAGTTTATTCTGCTCATTTTTTCTTGTTTCACATTGATATTTATCAGTTTGACTTTAACAGTGTTGGTGACAAAATCTGTAAGTAATGAAAAAAAAGATGTTAGACAAAACAAAGCATTTTTTTTCCACTAATCTGTAGTACTATATTGGTAGAAAAAATAAACTGTTGATTATTAAATGCTGGTCAAAGGTCTGTTGTTTTTAAGTAACATATATTTTAATCAGTTAATTACTTCTACTTTTTACTTCTTATTTTTTACTCAACTATGTTACACTTTTTTTGATCTATTTTTTTTGGCAGTAAACAAAAAGCAGGAAGAAGAATGGTGAGGTAAAGGTGGTAGACTGTTATTAACAGAAAGATTAGGTTAGGCTTATTATCGGTCCTCAATTTGCTTGTCGTTTATGATCAGTAGATTAAGAAACTGCTAAGAAAACAGGCAAATATGTTGTGTCAAAACACTAAATTAACAGTCAAAAAATTTTGTACAAAAATTTTCAAAAAAAAATTTTTTTTTTTTCCACGAAAGGATTAATAATTTATGCTTGTTAAAAATAAAAAGTAAAAATTTTTTAAACAAAATTTTTATTGATAGATGTTCTGCTAAGTATAGTTTTTTTTTTTCTTTTTCTTCTTCTCCATCTTAAACCAAGCCATTTTCATTTGTTGTAATTAATGGTAAGTTGTTAAACTATTTTTGTTAATTCTTCAAAATTCAGCAAATAAATAATGTTTTTTTTGGTAACTAAAAAGAATTTACAAGAATATAATTGTGAAAAGAAAAAAAAAAACAGTAAAACAATTTATTGGGTAAGCAGAACAAAAACGAAACAACTGCTGAAACTGTTTACTTGAAATTGACGAAACAGCTGCAAATTGTTGCTGGTGACGATCGTTAAAAATTTCTGAAGATGACGATAATGTGGTTGATGATGATGGGGATGACGATGACGATGGCGATGACAATGACGATGATGATGACGATGACGATGACGACGATGAAGATGATGACGATGATGATGACGATGACGACGATGAAGACGACGTTGTTGATAATGTTAATGATATTGGTATTGATGTTGATAGTGATATACCTAAAGTTCTCTGGGTTTCTTGATACGGCTGAAAAGCTGATTGCTTATCGTCTGGCCACATATAATGCTAAAATATGTAAATATTTAAACTGTGTAATATCAGATACCAACAAGCAAAAAAGAAAAATAGAATAAATAAATAAATATAAAAAAAAACAAAAAATGAAACAAGCCCCGTATGATTTAAGTATGCAACAAAAAAAAATAAAAGTTCATCAAAAATTGACTATTGACTGTTACAAAGAAAAAAATTTTTTTCTTTCTTTTTTTTAGAAATAAATTTAACTGCTTCTATTGTTGCTGCAACTATTGTTTACTGATTATTGTTGCTAGTTATTTTTACTTAGTTCATAGCTTCAAAACATTAATAATCTATTTAAAAAAAAAGTCTTTTTTCTTGCAATTCAAAACAAAAAAAGGAGGAGAAAAAAAAAAGAGGAAAGAATAAGATTTAATAAACAATATAAAATTGAGAAGAATGACAAAGAAAAAAAAAATTGTCAGACATAAGCCAAAAAGTTTTTTGGAATTAAAAATTATGACAGTAAATATTAATTAATTAGTTTTTTTTTTTTTTTTTTAACCAATTAATAATACGATTTGTTAGTTATTTGCTTATTAAAATCAGTGCACCTATGAATTTTAAATCTAAAATTGATAGACATACTGAAAAATTTATGTATGTATTTCTCCGAAGTGTTTGTGTGTGTGTGTTTTGATTTTCTTCTTTTTTTTTTTTTTCTGCGTCGGTGTTTCCTAATTGTTGCTCTCTGTGTCTGTGTGTGTTGCTAAGTGTCTGTGGTTGTTGGTTTATTATTCAAACATCTTTGTTGGTGTCTGTCTGTGTTGAAATGTATTTCTGTGTGTCTGTGTGTGTCTGTGTGTGTGTCTGTGTGCGTGTCTGTGCGTGTGTCTGTGTCTGTGTCTGTGTCTGTGTGAAATGAATTCATGTGATGTGAACAGTATTCATTGAAATTAATTTGTATGCTAACACATTGTTTTCAATTTCATCAAAGGCAACTGTAAAATTGCTAATGGACTATAGTACATTAGAGTTTTTTTTTACAGCAGTAACCAACAATAACAGTTTTTTTTTTAAATTGGTAGTCAAATTTTTTTTTTTTTTTTTTGCTGTTAACTTGCTTTAAAACCAAATACAATTTTTTTTTTCCTTTTTTTTTTTGCTGCTTTTTTTTTTTTTTTTTTGGAGCTAACAATTCTGTGAGAAGTGCAGGAATTTAATTAAACAACGATGATATTTTAGCAGAAAAAGAAGAAATTGTTTTTAAATAAAAAATTTTTTTACTTTTTTGTACAGTTTTTTTTTTAGTAGTGGTTGGTATACTGTAATGTTTTTAACATCAGAATCATCATCATTTTTTTTTTTCTTCTTCTTCTTCTTCTTCTTTTACTATCGATTGCAATTCATTGCCAGATTTGTTCAGTTGAATTAAACATTTATTGCTTATTCAACAAATTCTTTAATTCATTTATTTGATTATGCAGTAATGCAGTACAGCAGTAGCGCGGTGGAAAAAATAATATAAGCACAAAGCAGATGCTCTTGTTTTAATTTTAGCAACTTTTATATAAAGCTCTAAAGTGTTTACAGTCTGTTTAAGGCTTTATTCGGTATAGAAAAAAAAAAAGTTGTTATCAGCAATTCTATTTACAGAGCACTAGTTGATTAAATTATAATGTAAAATTTATCAAATGAAACCTCTTTTTTTGCACCTAACTTTTAAATTGTTTCAGTTTATTTGAATCTCTTCATTTACAGATTGAGAAAAAATTGATTCTTAAGGAAGTTTAAAAAGGCTGATAGATATTTGTAGCTTTTTTATTATTTGTTTGGTACATTAGAATAACTGACACACCTAATCTTTATTCATTTTAAAAAGTAAGCAAAATACACTGATATGCTTTTCTTGTTCGACTCTTCAGGTTAGGCAGCATACAAAAGAATAGTACAAGTGAAAAAAAAAGACTATCACGAATATCTATAAGTAGTTTTTTTTTTTTGAAAAATCGGAAATTGAAAAAAGTTTATAGGTGTACTAAAAAAGACTCGCCTCAAAAGCGCAAATTTTTCAACTGTTTTTACGAAAATTAGCTGCACAGCGTTAGTTTTTAAAACTTGATGATATAATGATGATATTCTATAATGTCTCATGTATCAAAAGTTCTAATTTATAAAAAAAAGTTTATAAAAATTCTCAAGTTTTGAATTATTCAAAATTTTATTTCTTGAACACCTTGCTTTTAACAAGAAGACAAAGTTTAGCCTTGCTTCTAGAATCACCACTATTGATCATCACAGTCTTTGCTCTTTATTCTTTGTTTCCTTTTGAAAATATTTTCTAATTTCCTTCCTGTTTCCTAAGAAACTACGCTTTTTTTACTCATTGCTGTCTGCTTCTCGGTTTCTTTGCCTCAGACTCTGCTCTTCTGTTCTTTTGTTCAGGTGACCAAAGACGACCAAAAACGATCTTAAGAAAAGTCTTTGAAAGTTTTCTGCTGTTGTTTTATTTTACTAATTATTAGCAATAAAGTGTACTTTTTTTTATTGAAGTTTACTTCGCTAAGCAGAAGCTGTACATTGATTAACGATAAAACATATAAAGGTAAAGTTTTATTGGCTTTGCCTGATTTGATTTTACGTGCATCGGAGTGATAAAGCTTGAAAGACACAATCACTACAAAAGTATCAAAACCAAGAAATGTATTGTTCAGCCAACATAAAACAGTAATTCCAAAGTTGACCAATACCGCTTCTCCTGCGGTGACAATGAATGTCAGATAGGTGGTGGAATACACTAAGAAACTGGAGAACATAGAATAATGTCTGAACATGCTGAGGTTTAAAACTGGTTTTGGAAAGTATAATAAATTGTAAAGATGTTTTGATAAACCTAACTAACGTAATTTCTAAGATCATTTTATTTATTCTGCAAGATAAAAAACCTAAAAATAGCAAACTGTTAGATGCATAATTTTTCTGGACCCTCAACTTGATGAGGTTGAAAATCAGATTTAAAAATAGAAGCTGACAACAGAAGATTTGGTTAAATGATAAACTGAAAAAGTTTGATGACTGCCACTACAAATCAGCTCAATTGAACAGTAAAATATTATCAAACAATATAAATTTTAAAAAAAAACTTAACTTGGTCGGAAATACTGATTGACTTCTCAATTTGGAAAATTTAATTTTTAGTAAATTTAATTGCTTTTTCTTGCAATTTTACAATTTTGGTTTTTTATTAAAGAAAATCTGGAATAGAGTATTTATCTCTCGCATAGATTAGCAGTTTATTCAGCGGTTAAATAATGATAATTTCTAAAAAAAATAAAATTTATCAAAGGACTACTGCTGCAGAGTTGGTGAAGGTGCCCGTTCAACAGTTAAATCTTTTGTTTTAAACTTCAATACCAATAATTTTTCACGCAGGAATTAAAAAGTTTATAAAATTTTTCCTTTCTTCTCTTTTATTAAGAATTTTTTGCAAAAGAAAAAGTTGCGTGTGTTCTAAAGATAATCAAAAACGTTTCTAAAATTGCTACGCAAAAATTACTCCTCGTTTAAGTGACGTTTCCTAAGATCTAACAAATAGTTTTCATCGAGCTTTCAAAACTAAATTTTCAGCGGAAGTTTTTTTTTTTGCAAACTTACTTTCAACTTTTTATGTTTCCATCTTTTTAAAATCTTTATATATATATATATTTTTTCCTTTTTCAATAGCAAAAAAAAAAAAAACAAAACACATTTAAACTTCTTGCAAAAAACAGTAACTTAATTAATTAGCACTAATGTTTCATTGGCTTAAACATTTCTATACATAAAATTAGCAGAAAAAAATTTCTTTATTTTTTGACTCTCTTTTTTAAAATCAACGTAGTAGTTTCTTTTTGTTTAATAACAGTAATTTTTGAACTAATTTTCAATAAGACTAATTTTCTTATTAATAATTCTCAAACAAAGTATCAAAAAAGCAACTGTCATTTTGACAGCAAAAAAAATTTTAATGTTCTTGGTTTTCCAAGATAAAATTTTCAATTACAAATAAATAATTAACGCTTATTTTGTTGAACTAATAATCTGTCAAAACCTCAAAACAGTAAAAAAACTTAATGTTAAAAATCCTTAAAAAAGAAGCAGCTCAAAAAAAAAGCGGGCAGTAACAGCTAAACTTAAGTGTTTGTTTGTTCATTAGAATGCACTGAAACTGTAATTACTAATCTAAGTTTAATCATCAAAAAACTTTTCTTTTTTTGAGATATATTTTGTGGCAATTTTTTATTACTGAAAATAAAGCAAATGTTTAACCAGTTGTGCTAAAACCTTTGCAAAAGTTTATTTGTAATGCGCATATAGTAATATAATACTCTGATGAAAACAAGAGAAACTGACATTTTTCTTTTTCAGTTTTAAAACTCCTTAGAATAGTGTTGCCATGTTAATTTTTGATCTAAGGTTTCTGAAAAAGCTTACATATGCGGTTAGAACTCTTTATTTGAAACATACATAAGCCATAAATTTATAAAGACTGAAATCAAAATCAATGAAAAATCACAATGTACAAAGAAATATTTTACAGCATTTGTTGGTTATTAATCTAGTAAAATAAATAATTGGAATAAGAATTTTATTGGTGATAGAGTTGCCATTATCAATTCTAAGCGAATGAACTCTGAACTACTCAACCAAAAGTGCACTGAACAGCACTTAATGAGAAAGAAAATTTTCTTTTGATGAAAAAAATTTAAAAGTTTTACAGCAATTATGATTG